GCCACCAAAATATGCAGAGCAGAACCAGCTGAGTCTTGAACCCTGCACCATGCAGCCCACAATGGGCTGTTCAGCACCTTGGAGTCCAGCTGGACCACTGCTCCTTGTCCTGCAGGGTCTGGCCCTTACATCCCATCAGTCAGGGCTGGAAGGGCCTTGGAGATGCATGCAGAGAGGATGTGGGGGTCTCCCCTAATGTGTAAAAGAAGAATCTGAGGCCCTGAGAGGGGTAGGGATGTGCGCAAGTCACCAGTCAGTCAGCAGAGGAACCTGAACCCGTTTTTCCAGGTCAGAGACCTATTAACATTGATATATTTATATACAATTTGGGCAGCTGTGTAAATTCAAAGGGACACTCTGCTAAATGTTAGGGGACATGTATCCTCTCAGAGGAGGCACCTCTTATTTCCCATCCAGATACAGAGAACTGGGGCATGAAGTGTAGAAACTCTGTTGCCCATAACAACAGACTTGTGTGCTGCAGTTGGGTGCCCTTCCTGCTCTGCCTTTGATTCTTCATACCTTGTACCTCCAGGATATGTGGAAGACCTAAAGACGCTGTCCCCCACCCCTGCCCCCCTCACCGACCACACCAGCAAATTCCTGCTTGGCCAAAGAGATGCGGTGGAAAGAGCCCAGGGCCTGGAGCAAGGAGAGGGGGATTGCAACCCTGGCAGTGTAACTCTCTGTGTGACTTTGGGTAAATCCCTTCTGGTCTCTGGGCTTCGGTTTCCCCGTCTGCACAACAAAGGGCTGGCCTGTAGGACTGCCAAGCTTCCCTCCAGCTGTGTGGGCCTGTGATGGAACAGCTCAGGGCTGCAGTAACCCAGTTGTTTAGCTAAAATGCATGTTCCTGTTCTCTGGAAGAGTGAAACCAGGGTGTCATGGCGGAGCACTCCACACCTGTCATGCTCACAGACATTGCCTAATTTGGTTTTTGTTTTATTGAAGAATAGTTGACATACAATATTATGTTAGTTTCAGATGTACAGTGTAGATGTGATGCATATGCATTACAGAATGCTCACCATGTTCATTGTAGTTACCATCTGTCACCATACAAAGTTATTATAAAGTTGATTATATTTCCTATGTTGTACTTTTTCATTCCTGCAACTTATTTGTTTTATAATTGGAAGTTTGTACCTCTTTATCCCTGTCACCTGTTTTGCCCATTCCCTAACCCCCACCCCTGTGGCAACCACCAGTTTGTTGTCTGTATTTGTGAGTTTATTCCTGTTTTGTTTATTTGTTCATTTGTTTTTTAGATTCCTCATATAAGGAAAATCATAGTATTAGTATTTCTCTGTCTGACTCATTTCATTTGGCATAATGCCCTCTAGGTCCATCCACGTTGCTGTGGATGGCAAGATGTCATTCCTTTTTATGGCTGAGTAATATTCCACTGTGTATATGTACCACATCTTCTTTATCCATTCATTATTGATGGACACAGGCCTGACCTAATTTGATCCGCACCAGTGCTCCTCACCAAATGGAATCTAAGGTTTAAAAAAATAAACAATTGGGATGAGAGTCAAGAGTGCACGCAAACCATCTCAAACGCCACCATGTCTCTGTCCTATGTGGAAGGCCTTGGAGTCACAGAAGTCAGAGCAGCTTACATGTATTTGTGACATACTGTCTTATGGTACTACTAATAAGCAGTCCTGAAGTGTAAAAAACAAAACATCACCCAACCCTTGGAAGCTGTAACTGTATGTGCTATGCTGATCCTGGCTGACCCAACATGTGACAAGAGCCTGGTGGGATGGGGGAGTGGATTTACCAATCCTTGAAAGTGTGACCTCTGACAGCCCACTTTACCTTTCCTGGGCTGAGCAACATGGGGCAATAACCTGGCCTTACCTCTTCTGTTCTCTGGGATGTTGTGGGACCCAAGATAATGAGGGTTATGGAGGGAAAGGCCACACAAGACTATTTTCTTTCCATGTGAACAAAAAATTGGCTAAGCACGCGTTGTCTAGGATAGACTGCCTTTTCCTTCCTTCCTTCACCTCCTGTGTCTCGCTTGCATTTCTCCCTGCAGTACCTGCATTCTTGACGCCTCTGGAGCTCCCCTTCAGGCTCCCCAGCTGCTAATGTTCACTTCTGTGGGAAATGATAGGTGACAAGTTGCTCCCTGAGACACCCACAGGCAGATAAGCGAGGAGGGGAAACGAGTTCTTCTGGAAGATAAACAGACTGTACTTTGGAAGTTAAATATCCCTTAGAAAAGAGTAGGAAACTTAAGATTCCAGCCATGGGTTTCCGAGCAAGGCTCACCAGAGAGGCTGCAGCGTCTTCGGGGTGAGGGCTGGGAATCCTGACATCTGCAAATGTCGTTTGGGGCCAGGGCCTGGGCTTGGTGTCCACCGCCACCCAAAAGAGGCAAATCCTCCTTCCTGGTTCCCCCTGGGAGCACCCCGGGCCCCTCCATTCCCTCAGCAATCAGAGCACCTTGTGCTTTCCTACTTAGTGTCTTGATGTTCACAGTGAGTTGGGCTGTAAGAGGCAACCTGTTACTGCCATTCCCAATGTGGGGAAACTAAGGCACAAAAGGGTGAGCAGATGTGTAAGGGTGAGCAGATGTGTGAGTGCAGATCTGAACAGATCTCCTAATGCACTCTTCTTTGCCCACCCAGCGGGCATGTGTGCGCAGGCTCACGTGTGCATGCGCGCGCACACACACACACACACACACACACACACACACACACACTTCCACTGAGTTTTACAGCTCTCTAAAATTTATGAGGGAAGTCGAGTACCCGGAGATCTCTTAATTAAGCAGCCTTCCCTTAGGAGAAAGGAAATGGGCTTCCATATTCTTAGCACCGACATCAGATTGCATGATTTACTACCCAAGGCCTGTATTTCTCTCCAGATCAACTTCTCTATAGTACAAACATCTATCACTTTGAAGGCAGTTCAAACGCCACCTTCTCCTCCTCCTCCCCCTTTCCTGGTGACCCCCAGGCCTCAGCACTTCCTCTGATCTGCCCCCTTTACCCCAGAGGTGCAGGGTCAGGCTGGAGCCCTGAACAGACACCCTACTGTGGCTGGCCCGAGAGAGAGGGGAAGCCCCCAGCCCAGGGCTGGCATGGAGGGCTGCCCTCGCTTGGGTGGGAACACAGGGGGCTGGTGGTTGGTCTTTCCTTACAGCCCACTGTGGCTGCTGATGGTTACCGTTAAGATATATGGGTTTAATCAGGGCCCTGACAGGTAAAGACCCTAACCACGAGGACAGTTTGTTCTCTCAAACTGTTGAGTATCTAAGCCCAATGTTTACTTTGGAATTGAATGAATAACATTGTTCTGGGAAAGGAAATTTAAAAAAGCAGGCTTGTAATTTACAGTAGGGAAGAGAACAAATCTGGAGGCCTTGTCATGCCCCCACCCAGGCCCAGCCCCTCCTCCTGCAAACCCTCTTTCTGTCTTTTGCTGTTTTAGACTTCTAAACACACCACCACCAACCTTAGCCCTGCCAGGAAAGGTCTCAACGTCGCCAGCCTCCCCAGAGATGCCGAGAGAACTCATTGCTTTAAGGCAAAGGTTTTTTTTCTTCTTTTCCTTTTAAAAATCAAAATCAAATGCCAGCGCAATTTCAGCTGTTGTTGAGACCTCTTCAAAATGTGGAGTGAAGGGTGATGATGAGGGGTGGGCCAGAGGCTTCACCTGCCCCCGTCCCCACCCAGCCAGGAGAGAGTGACTTCTTATCAAAAATAACCGGGGGAAGCCCGCCAGACTTCCACAAACAAACCTAGCAAAACATACCCCTCTCCGGGGGCTGAGGAATTCCTTCACTGAGGAAGGTCGATTTATTTTTAAACTCTTGGGGTGGGAGCCAGGGAGAGTTCTTTGTACTCCTCATCTAGAAAACCCCCAGGGACTTTCCTCAAAGAGAGACCAGCACGGCGCCGCTTGCCTGTGCTAAGGCGTGGGGTGGTGGTTTGTAGCAGTGGACGTCCTGCTCAGCCAGGGGGTGCTCGAGACCAGCCCGTTTCCTTCCCACAGAAGTCTCATTTCCAAATGAAGCAGGCCTCCGACTGACGCAGACCTTCTCAGGCCTCGAGAATTCCAAAAGGTCTTCCCTGGCTTCCTCCTCTGGAGTTGTAAGACAGGAGGACGGGGCCTGTGCACACGGGCTGCTGAGCGGGGCGACGGGGTCCCCCGGGCCTGGCTATAGGCTGGAGTGCGGCCCTCACCCTCCTGGCCTTGTCTTAGGCAGCTGCACCTACCTGGTCTCCTCCAGAGACCAGGACTTGGCTGCCCGCCTGCCTGCTTGCCCACCAGTCCACCTGCCCGCCTACCTACCTTGGATGTCTCGGGTTAGCTAATCGAGTGGGGGGTGACCACTTTGAACATTTCAAGGCCTGGTCAGGAGCCAAGTCTCATTACTGAGGTTCAAAGTCAGAAACTCCATAAAAAAGTTCATTGGTGGAGCCGATTGTTCCAGATTGTCCCAACGGAACTGAACCCACCCTGGCACCTGGGGCCTCATGTTTTAATGTGGGGCGAGAGCACGTGTGTGGTACTGGGCCAAGGCAGGGAGGGGGAGGGGCGGGAGTCCCAGACCTGGTCTGAGTTTTCACTTAAAAATTACAAAAGAACTATAGCCACATTACACAAAATTTGGAAAACTAAGGGGTGAAAATGAAAACATTCTGGAAGCCCAAACCCTAATACAACAAAAATATTTCTTTCTGAGCCCTTTTCTTAGGTTTAATTTTTATATACTACTAATCAGCCTATGTATACAGAATGGCCTGGTTTTTGGCCCTCTTTTTTCTCTAAGCATTCAATCATAAGCATTTCCCCACCTCTTCAAAAACCAGTATTTTAAGTGGCTGTGTGATATTCTGTCCTAGTAATGTGGAATAATTATTACACATTTAGCTTGCCTATAGCTTTATATTTTTATAAACAGCATGAACATAGGCATATTTCCCCATGGTTGGTTCTTAAATTTTCTTTTTTAAAGAAGTAACACTTTTCTGATTATAAAAGTCACTCAGGTTTATTTTTTAAAAAGTGGAAAATCTGGGAGAGTATGAAGAGGTTCATAAAAATCATCTGTCATTGTTCTGCCCAGAGAGAATCACTGTTAACCTTCGGGTGTATTTTCTTCATATATATTAGAAACAGGATCATGCTGCGCAGAAGTTTTGTAGTTCCCTAGGGACAGGAGAATAAAATTGGCAGAGGAAATATTATTTCCAGGAGAGATTCAATGTGTGATATGTGTGGATTTGAAACTGCACGGCATTTACATTCAGCGTGTGCAAGCTGGGACAGACCTGTGTCCAGCCCTCCGTGCCCTCCGTGCAGGCACCCCGAGGGGGGCCGGTGGCGTGGCTCTGCCCAGCACCGCGGCCTTGCTGCGGATGGGGTCAACAACAAGTCCACTGCGGGCGCGAGCAAACACACTTTCCTCATTTCTCCTGACAAGCACCGCGGAGCCCCTGATTTATGGCCACACTTCACGGGACACTAGTAAACGTCCCATAGTGTATTTTGTAAGAGTAATGAAGTCTCAGTAACCCCAGCCCTCCCCGCAGCCTCTGCTAATAAATTTCCTTCTGAGAGAGGGGTGAGCCTGCCAGGCGCTTGGCGAGAGTCCTGGGCTGTGGATTAGCAGAGGGGCTCTAGGGCCCCCAGGGCCGCAGCTCCCGCCCTCCCCAATCTCTCAGAAGGAAGTGGAGGACTTGGCTGCACCCCCCACCTCCAGCCACCCCTAGAATGCCAGGAGCTCTCAAAAGGCAGGAGGAAGATGAGAAGTGAGTCAAGGAGCTGGAAAAGGAGGAGGAGAAACCCCAAACCATAATTGCCCCTTTCCCTCTGCAGCTCAGATTACTGGCCAGGGGCTGAGGGGCGGTGGAGGGCTGTTTCTTTTTTGACTACTGTTTCCCTTGAGTTTGAAGATGAACTATGGGATGAAAGAAAGCGGCGGGACAATCGAGATGGGCTGGGTTGGGGAGGCGGGGTTGTGCGTGGGCCACCACAGACCAGAATCAAGGGGGCCAGGTTACCCTGAGGCTCCAGAAGTGGGGTAGGGGTGCTGAAGGTATTTGCATTCCACCCCTGTCCCCACGCCATCTCAGATACTTCAAAGGGCTGGGGACAGGGCAAATATTTGTCCCTCCACAGAATAGCTGTCCCTCTTGAACCTCCCCTTCCCTTCCATGTATTTGGTTCTGATGGTTCTTCACTCACCATTTTAATTGATCCTCCTCGCAGCCAGCGCCTGCCCAGTCCCACACCACGCACTGAGGATGCAAAGATGAGTAAAGACACAGCTCTGGGTGTAGTAACCTAAGTATGGCTGATACAGGGAGCACTTCCCAGGTGCCAGGCACTGTTCTAAGCACCGTTCCATGGATTAATTCAGTTACTGCTCCCAAGCCCAAAGAAGTAGGCATTCTACTATCATCATTGCCATGTTACTCAGGCACCTTAAGTGACTTATCCAAAATCTCTCTGGTTCCAGAGTCAAGGCTCTCAGGGACAAGTGGAGTCACATGAACCCTAAGCAGGCAGGCTGCCCAGACTTCATCTCCAACAAGCAGGGCAAACTAGGAAACTGAGGCCCAGAGAGAAGTGACTTGCCAAAGGTCACATGGCAAAGGGCAAGGCTGGGATTAGAGCCCAACAAACTGACCCCACGGCTAAGTCCCAAAGTACTACCAGCTTCCTGTTAGGCAGCTGAATCCCCCTCACACATAGTTTAAGAAGATTGTGAGCTGAGAACAGTTTTCTGATGTCTGGAAACTTCCAGTTTGCAATGAGCTACACTGAGGACCCACCCAGCTGACCTAGAACGAAGCATGGAGAAGGTTGTTTAAGGGAAAGATACGAACTCCAAACCAGCCAGCTGGGGAACAGTGGGGTGAGGAATAAGTTTCTCAAGTTAAACATTTACCTTTTAGTAGCTTGAAGTTTCCCATGTGTATCATCGAGAATTCACCAAATTTCCCACTCTGACCTGAAGCCCATGGCATGACTGCCTGGAACAGGATGCCCTGTGGGAATGTCTGGAGCAAGCAGATACTCTGGTGCCCATGTGAGAAGCTGCCTGAGAGCCACTGGTTGGGGGTCACAGCCTGAATGGCTATGCACACGGGAGGCGTGACCATGATGTTATCCTGGTGCTCGCACAGAACTCCCAAAGTGCCCGAGACAGACCTCATGCAGCACCGAACCTCACAAATAAAATCTGGGTTTTGAAAAATAAAATGACTGGTCTGATTTGAAGGTAGTTGCTTTCCAAGTTGGCTTGTGTGGGGACACCAGGGCACCCGGGCTCTGGAGCTCTGCTTCTTATTAGAATTCCCCGTGCTCTCAGACAGGGAAAACCCAGCCCACCATAGCCTGGTCCCATAGCAGGGCCAGGGAAGGGTCTCCTGCTGGGAGTCAGGAACCTCAGTGTCACCAGCCAGCAGGGCAACGTCACATCTCTGTGATTCGGATGCAAAATAGGAGCAAGGAGATGTCTGTGTCCGCCAAGGGGAGGGTGGGTGTGGTATGACTACTGTCAGTAATCCTTACAGTAGCCCTGGGCAACGTGTAGTTACAGCCATTTACAGATGAAGAGGCTAAGACATCGAGGGGTCCCAAGACTCAGGGTGCTTGGAGGGTGCACGCCACCCCAGGTGGACACAGGCAGGAAAGGGCTATTGCAAGCACAAGAAGTGCAGAGACCGTGACTGTAAACTGCCTCTGATCAATGGCCTAGCCCTCTGCTGGCAGTCCATGGGCTCAGTTGTGTTCATTGGCTCCCCAGTCTCTCTGTCCTCTCTAGGGTGGGGGACAATCGAAGAGGCTGTGTGCTGTGGTGATAGCTGGACTGTGAAGATTTGGGGGCCTGGGTTCGAGTCCTGACTCCGACATTAACTGGGTGACAGAGAACAGCTCCTTTTCAGCCCTGGGCCTCACTCCTACATCTGGAAAATGAGGCACCTTCCCAGCTTCTCTTCCAAACCTGCAGTCAGAAGTCGTTTGGCCTGTATGGGCCAGGCTTCCTTGTCTGTGTTGAGCTGAGCCCCAGTCCTGGGAGCCTCCGATGAGTATTTGTTGAATTAAGCTGGGCTTAGGCCTGGCACACAGAGATATCACAAAGATCCAATAACGTCAGGAGGATGAAAGCGATTCCCTCGTACAGCTGGAGGACTGTTTGCTACCCTTGCAGGGAGCACGGGGAGGAAAGGAAACCCTCCTCACTCCGCTGCCATCTGCATTCTTCGGCAGGACCCGAGGAGGCAGGGCACATGCCCCCAGCAGAGGCAGACACATCTGTGGGCTGTCTCAGCCTTTCGCTCTGGACCCTCATCTGATAAGCATTAAAAAAATCTTGGGCCCTCTCTAGAAGCTTTTGGACATTTCAAAATAAATGAAATAGTGACTTCTAAAAAAATCAATGGTACTTTCAGATCATGGTTTTTCCAAACTTCTCACGTTCCCCGGAGAGTCTGATAAACACAAGGCAGGCACTGAAAAATGCTATTTTTCATTCAAAGCAGGTGTGGAAATTGAGTTTCCTGCCTGGCTTTAGGTAAGAAAGAATGCTCCTCCCCTGTGACTCCTCTCACTTTGAGACTTTTGGGGTCAGTGAAGTAAGCATCGTACTGCCCTGCCCCTGCCCGCCATCCTTGGCTATGACAGAGAGGCTCTGTGACAAAATAGTGTGCCACACAACACACATTCCTGATACGGTTAATAATATGACTATATTTATGGTTCTGTGCTTTTCCACTAGACCACACTGCTTTTTAATGTTGCCTTCGAATTCTCAGCAGAAATGAGCTGGAGGCAACTTCGGAGGTGTCTCTTTGCTCATTTTATTCTGTTTATTGCCTGGGTTTCATCTGCTACTCTTTTTTTGGTCTGTTTACCCGCTTGAGTCACCACTTGCTGGGTGTCCGTGACACAAGAGGATCTTGGAAACACCTTGCCCTTAAGGCACTTAGACCTGCTGATCATAGTAGGTAAATGATTACGTGTCATTATATGCTTGAGTGCCTTCAAATGCAGACCTTCTGTCCAAGGCAACTATTTTTTCTATTTTCTCTTCCATTTCTCTAAGGCCAGAACAAATCTGGCTTAATTATGAAGTTGGTCAATTCATCTAACTTGAAATCAAGGTTGGGGTCAGCACAGGAGTGGGGCCCGTTGCCCTCAAGGCCTGAAGGTCCCCTGGCTCTGAAGCCCTCTGTCCCCACCCTGTCTGCCTCCTCCCGATGGCGCCTCCCCACTTATTACCTGGCTCCTTTGCTTTTCCAACTCCTTGTCACTTTTTCTTCTGTCTTTAGGGAAAAAGTGAAAAACAGAAGAGCTGGTATTTCTAGGACATTGTGGGTGGCCTGTAAGGGGGACGATGAGGTGGAGGACTGGGGGCAGGGCACGCTGTTGATTCATGGGTCACCCTGTGAGGCTGTTTTGCATCACTGCAGCCCTGTCCACTGCCAATTGATGATCACCATACTTGCTGGGGACTTGCGGCCAGCTGGCTGGTCCAGGGCCCCGTAGGAGGCCTCCCAGGGGCCCAGAGTGACACTGGCTGGGTGAATGGTGACTCTGTCAAAGGCTGTGAAGACCCTTCATCGGCCAGACAATGCAGAGCCCCAAGGGGGCTGTGTTCTTACAATCTCCGGGCAGCTTGTCCCGAAATCCCTCCTTTCTCCGGTCCTGCTTCCCTAGCCCTGCAGACTAAGCCCCACCCTGAGCCCGAGGGCTATGCCCTGGCACAGACTGGGCACGCAGAGTGAGTAGCTGCTGTTTAGCACGGCGCCCGACCGCATGGTTGGTAGGTAGCCAGTGAAGGGTAACTTAATGAATGACTACTTCAAACCCACAACATATTAAGCTAAAATAGTTGCTACGTGAATAGCCATTGACAAAGCTCTTTTTTACATGTCGCTTATTTTTTAAATTAAGGTTTATTTATTTCCCCCTGTCCAGCACTCATTGTTTTGAAGACCCGAGGTGCGCTTGAACAGGGAAAAAAGGCCTGGGGCACGCTGCCACCCCTCCCTGTGCCTCCATCACCCGCCTGTGCAGGCAGTGGTGGAAACCTGTGCGGCTTCACCGGAGGGCGGCGGTGGTCAAACCCACTGGTGAGAGGAAGGGTCTGGGGCAGTTAAAGCGGCTGTGACTGGCATGGTGGGCTGTAACTGAGATGTCCCACATGTGCAGTCACCTCTAAAAGGAACATCCCCCAATCTCTCTTGTCATCAGGCTCCAGGCCCCCCAGTCCTGGCATCATCCAGGAAAGCTTTGGCTCTGCTGACACCACAAGTCCTGCCGCAGGTGATACGATCATAAAGGAATGAGGCTAGTTTCCCTAGACCTTCTTGGGAGATGCGGGCTCCGTGGGTTTTCTTTAAGATCTCAGCTTAAATGGCTTTTCACCAGGAAGCCTTTTCTGAAACGACTACAGAAGTGAAGTAAACACAGCATCTGTGGAGAATTGCAGACAGAGGGGCTAGCCAGGGACTGTTTGGCTGGGGCTGAGTGAGCAGGGAGCATGGGGCAGGCAGCTCAGAGCGGCCAGAGGCCAGTCACAGGGGGCCTTGCTGACCCTGGGAAGGACTTTGGATTTGATTCTATGAGCAGTTAGAAGTCACCGGTGAGGATGCTCTGGCTACTGTGGGGAGGGTCCTGGGGGTGGGAGGGAAAGGTGAAGGTGGAATTTGCTGGTGGGTTGAGTGTGGGGATGTGCGGAAAGAAGCAATCAATGATGACTTTGAGGTTTTTGGTTTGAGTAACCAATGAATGGGTCGTCTGGCCTTGTGGAACCCACGTCCTCCCAACTGCACCTCAGAAGATCTCTTGTTCATTCCTTCCTGTTCTCTCTGCTGCCACCTTGTTCAAACTCCCATCACTTCTCACTGGGGCTCCTGCAGAGGCCTTCCCTATCAATCAGCCCAATTATTAAAGATTAGGTTTGATTATTTCACTTTCATGCTTGAAAACTATAAGGACCCCCTGTGTTAGTTATCTATTCCTGCGTAACAAATTGCCTAGCTGCTTTAAACAACAAATATTTATTGTCTCACAGTTTCTGTGGGTCAGGAATATGGGTGCAGCTAAGCTGGGTCCTCCATCTCAGGGTCACATAAGGCTGTAATAAAGGTCATAGCCAGGCTGTGATCTCATCTGAAGGCTCACGGGGGGATGGCCCACTGCCAAACTCATTCATGCAGTTGTTGGCAGGATTCAAGCTGTCGGACTGAGGGCCTCAGATCCTTGCTGGCTATTGGCCAGCAGCTTCAGTTCCTTGCCATATGGGTCTCTCCATAGGGCAGCTCACAACATGGCACTGGCTTCCTCAGAGATCAAGAGAGAGCACCCAAGGAGGATGCCATGGTCTTTTTTGCAATTGATCTTGGGAGTGACATCTCACCATGGGCTGTATTCTGTAAGAAGTGAGCTACTAGGTCCAGTCCACACTTGAGGGGAGGGGATTATACAAAGGCATGAATGCCAGGAGGCAGGGATCATTGGGTGCCATTTTCTAGGTTGCTTACCCCTCCCAGCCCTTCTCCTGCCTCCCCTGCCCCACTCCTCACTGGGATCATGTTAGCTAATTTGCTGGTCCTCAAAGAACTATCTGTTTTTCTGTTTTAGTTCTCATTGCCTTTGTCTGGCCATTATGCACTTTCTGCTTTGAACTGTTAGAGATTTTCTTCTGCATATTATTTCAGACCTAGAAGTAAACCCTTGGCCATAATCCTCCCTCCCACTTGCTTGTATTAGCATTCTTAGTCCATGTATTTTTTCCTTCAAGTTGGTATTTGTGCTCTGTGACAGTCAGGACTATGTCTTATTCATTTTTTTGTTCTTATTGACAAACATGGTGGATGACATATAGTACGTACTTATTTACCTCTTTGTTCAGTATGAATGAGTGATTCCCAGTTAAAGCAAAAGAAGAAAGTTCAGGAAGGTAAACCTTCTCATAGAATGGATTCCAAGGTCAAACAAGGTTTTAAGATGATTTATTTTTGGATCATCTGTGCCTAGCTTCCCCTCCATTGGGAATTCCTAAAGAAACTGTTCAACTGGTCCTGCAAGTATACAAGTTGCCCCA